AAGGACGCCACGTGTTGGTCTGGTGCAAAGGGTGGCCTGCCAAGTACGATAGTTGGATTCCCGCGCAACATGGTACGCGTCAAAATAACGCCTCAAAAAAGAAAAAAGCGGGTGCTGTTTCTGGATGAGGTCCTGGCGGATTCCAGCCGACCGCGGGCCAGTTACACCCCACCCCCACCAGTGACGCGGACATTCTGAAATTCATCCACAAGAAAGCGGCCGAACAACGGCAAGCCCGACCCTTGCCGTGGTGGGAAAAGTTGGCCAGCCCCACCAAGCAGCAATGGGCGTACGCCAATGCCTACCATCGAGCGGAAGAGTATGCCAAGAAACGGGGTGCCCTGCGTTCCCCACCCAAGAAAAAGGCCAAACAACGCCGACGCGCCGGTCGTCATCCACCCATGCGCAAGAAGAAACCCCCCAAACAAAAGACCTGCATGACCCTGATGGAACTGGCCCGGGCCTTTCCCAACATTGCCCAGCAAGTGTGTTTTCATCCCAAACAATCGACCTTCAATTCGTTGGTGGGACGAGTCCCTCGCAGCAAACAGAAAGTGGACCAGTGGCTATAAAAGGACCCTGCACCCTCTGGGACGCGCCTCTTGTTCATCATCATGAGTGAGATTAAACGCTTGACGCTCATCAGCGATCCGACCGACGAGTTTCCCAAAAATGCCAACAACAGTTTCAAGGTCTGTCTGCCCGAACGTCTCTCCTTACCGGGCGAGGGCTGGCATACCACGTTATTGTCCCTGACCGTCCCGGATCAAGGACAGAGCAATGCCGTCATCGCCACGGATCCTCACACCAAAGTCGTGACCTTTAGCGTGACGTACTTGACGCGCAAATATGTCCTGGGGGAGTATCGACGGGTCAGTTTTCAGACCAAGGAGTACACGGTGGAATTGGAAGATATCATGAGTGCCAAACATCGTGTGACCTCAGGGAACCTGTTTTGGAAACGAACGATGCAAGAGGTGCACAACAAGACCATGCGGGCACTGATGCACGAACAAGATACTGCCAAGACCTTTGATGCGGATGAACGACCCCTGGTCAGTGTGAAAAAGAACTGGATGCCTATGATGACCTGGAAAGACGATGCCTTGGTGATGCATGCAGTGCCTAAAGGAGACTTGTTGAACGGCAACAAGACCAAAGTCACGAGCGCCTTTTCCCTGGATCTGGGGGTAGCGGAAAGGTTTGGCTTCATTGAACAACCCCAAGGCGTCGTGGGCTATGTGCTGGGTCCCAATCTCCAATTCACTTGCCCCACCGTGACCTTTGATAGCCAAACACCCCCCAAGAATCCCACCAATCGAACGGACTATTATTGGGAAGGAGCGCATTATGCCGGGGTGCAACCCTCGGATTTGACCAGTGACGTGATGGATCAAATGTTTGAGGTGAAAAATAAGCGGCTTCATCTGTCCAGGATGGTAGAATGGCAGTTCAACAACCTCAACGCCTCGTTTGAAAAAGTGGTGGGGACCAGCAAGCGCACTGTCATGGTGTATTCGGATCTGGTAGAATCCACTGTGGTGGGGAGTGGCAAATTTCCCCTGTGCGAGGACAACAGTTGGATATCTTGGAAGTCGAGATTGCGAGTACCAGTGGACCCCTGGCCATCTTACCCCCTGGCAAAACCCTGGTGACCATTGGTCTCAAACAGCTATAAAAAGCCACCCCACGTGTTCTGGAGGGTCAAAAAGCACCTCGACGTGAACCGACATGCGCGGAGGAAGTTTAACGCGGTACCACACGCCCGTGCTCACCCAGCAAGAGGGTAAAGGGTTGGCCGAAGATTTGATCAAACTGGCGGGACCCCTGATCGTGCAGAAAGCTCAAGCGGGACTGCAAGATATTCAACGAGGAAAGAGTGCTGCGGACACGTGGGCCGATCGAAGTGCGCAACTCAGCCGCGGATTGAAACGCAAAGCCCCCGCCATGGCCTGGACGGTCGGCAAACACAAGGCCAAACGGACCGCCCAAAATACCTATAAAAGAGCCACGCAACGCGTACGGGACATCTTTGGACTGTGAAAATGGTACGTGTGGGAGGCTTTCTCAAAACGCAAAATCGTATTCGACGGCAACGCGCCCGTGGACGGTTCATTTCGCCGTATCAAGTGGGGGGCACGATTTTTGGCAAGTCGACCATAGCGCGCTATCCCCTGATGTACACGTCCTCCCGCCTGTTGGAGCCCTGGAGGTTGGATCAACGCCAACGTCGCAAGATGAAAGGGGGTACGATTTTTGGCAAGTCCACCCGCATGCATAATAATCCTTTGAGGTTCCCGTCTGCGTACCCGGTGGACCCCAACCAATGGGCGAGGACCATGGCTCGACGCCGACACGGTATGAAAGGGGGCACGATTTTTGGCATGGGGGATCCCAGGAAGGTTTTGTGGGCCAACCAAGAAAACGCCAGGAGGCAACGTAGGAGAAAGGGTATAAAAAGGGGACGCCGTTGAACGATCGTCCACAGTCAGCATCATGTCGCTCCAACTGTTTGACGTGCCCGATGTGGATTATCGGTACGAAGCCTCTGGGGAGGTGGAGTTTCAACCCGCCTTGACGGGCATCCAGCCCATCACCTTCTCCATTCCACGCTCAGACGATTATTACGATCCCAATTCCCTCCGATTCAAAGTCAAAGTGCGCCTGACGGATCCAGCGGCTGGGTATGCAGGATTGAAAGCCAATTTGGCCAACTCCGATGCCAACAATACCAGAAACACCTACTGCGTCAACAATTTCGGTCACAACATCTTTCGAGATATCACCCTGAGCATGAATGGGGTCCTCATGACTGAACAGAGCAACACCTACCATTACAGAGCCTACCTAGAAACCCTCCTGAATTACAGCCGAGACGAAGGAGATACCAAGCTAGCCCCGCAAGGATCGGTCAATCAGCTCAATGTGATTGCAGAAATGGGAGCCACAGGAGCCAATTCCGATACCCCTACCGGTGCAGATTGGAATGGGAATACAGACTTGCGAGCCTTGACCAGCCGGTTGCTAGACCAGAATTGGCACACCTTCATCATTCGTCCCCATTTGCCACCCCTCAAGACAGGCAAATTGTTGGTCCCCAATGTCCAGATGGACTTTGAACTCTTCCTCAACCCCAACACCGTCTACCTGATGGACACCCCTAACAAAGGCACCTTGGTTGCCAAGAAATTTCCAGCCATTCACAGTGAAGACATCAAAGTCACCTTGCTGATGAGAAAAGTGACCCTGAATGCCAGCGTCTATGTCAGACTGCAGAAAGAAAGACAACTGGGCAAACAGATTGCCCGCTACCCAGTCGTGCGGAGCGAAATTCGCACGTTTTCCTTCGATGGACGAACCACCCAGTGGGAACAAGACAATGTGTTTGTGGGTCAATATCCTGACAGAGTGATTGTAGGGTTATTGCATTCCAATACCTTCAATGGAGACCTACAAAGATACCCCTTCGCCTTTGAAAAGTTTGGCGTCACCCAAATACGACAGACCTTGAATGGAGAAGAATACCCTTACAGAACCCTGCAACTGACTGGAGGAGAAGCCTATGAAGATCTACTGGGCTACGATCGATTTCTACAAGCCATGGGGACCTATGATGAACACAAGATGCCTATGATGCTGCCTGGTGATTGGGGACAAGACAAGAACTGCACGTTGTTCATGTTCAACAATGTGCCCAGTGGGAAAGCAGATGACCCCCAGTATCGCAACCCCCGTCAATCGGGCAATGTGCGACTGATCCTTGATTTTGCTGCCGCGGTGAATCACAACATCACCGTGTTGGTATGGAGCGAGTATGAAAACATGTATGAGATCAATCATCTGGGAGGTATAAAGTACAACATCAACGGCTAATGTAGCCTCAGAAGTCAGAAGACACCGGTCATGGAGTTTGTGGCGCTCAGTGATACCGTGTTACGGACCCTGGCCCTGGAGGATCCCGAATTACGGCGCGTGTTTCACGGGGTGTACCCTGCCGACCAGCTACCCCGATCACCCCCCAGGAGTGTCCGTCAAGCGTACATTGTCAACACCGATCCTGCGGAAGAACCGGGACAACATTGGTTGGGCTTGTGGACGGAACAGAACAAGTGCGAGGTCTTTGACAGTTATGGTCTACCTCTGCACGTGTACACCAACCCGGAGTTGCACCAGTGGTGGGGTCAATGGAAGTACCTGACTCGCAGTGACATGACCCTGCAAGCCATGGATAGTCAGACCTGTGGCCATTATGCTTTATTTTTCTTGAAAGCCCGAGCGCAAGGACGGTCGTATCAAGAATTTTTGAGTCAATGGAGTTGCGACAATTTAGTGTTGAATGATCATAAAGTGGCCGAACAGTTGAAACGTGTAATCAAACAAGAATTACAAGATGAAGTCGATGCCCGACCCGACGGGCAAAAGAATGTGAGCCGCCAGGCCTTTATGCTTTGTCATCAGTGTGATCATTAAGTCCAATAAAAAACCATAAAAACGACTCGTTCTGTGCATGAGAGGTCATTGTGTCATCATGATTACTCAAGGCGATGTGCAGCACGTAGTGGATGCCTTCCTATTAGAAGAAACCGTGTATAGGTGGGTACACCCGATCGAGCGGGTCAACACGGTCCAAGGCATCGATGCGTGGGATGGGTATCATTGGTTAGTGGCCCGACAATTGGCGCAAGACCAAGACTGGGTCTCCCTCAAGCACTACATGGACACGATGGGTGAAACGTATTTAAGAGAGACCATGGAAGGTCTGATTCAGTCCGAGTCACCACGATTGTACTGCGAATATTGGACGGTATGCCGAGTCGCAGACGACGACAGCGCGCCTCTTCCCGACGACCCCGCTTTCGCCAAAACGGGCGGGGCATCATGAGTGTGTTGGCCAAATCAGCCAAAATCGGTTATAAATTGGGACGCAGCAAACGGTATAAACGCATGGGCGCCAAAGGGGCCACGGGTCATTATCGACGTCACCCTCGACCGTGGGAATCATGATCCGACAACCCAGTAGTGTGATCATCGCTGGCCCGTCGGGCAGTGGCAAGAGCGAGTTGGTGGAACAATGGTTACGATATCTCAACGTCTTTCAAGTCAAACCCAAAAAGATCGTCTATGCCTATGATCGCTGGCAACCCCGATTCGACCGTATGCAACAAAAGGATGGGATTCAGTTTCATCGCGGGTTACCGGACCCCCGTCATTTGATCCAATGGTTTGGTCGGACGCGCGGAGGGGTGTTGGTCTTGGATGATCTGATGGAAGAAGGGGGACAAGACAAGCGCGTGTTGGATTTGTTCATCAAAAATTCTCATCATCGCAACATCACTGCGCTGTATTTGACGCAAGATTTATTCTCGACTGGCAAATTTTCCAATCGCAATCCAATCAATCGCAACGCGCATTACATCGTGGCGTTCAAAAACCCCCGGGATCAAACGGGCATACGGACCATTTTACTGCAAGCCTTTCCTGACCGGTGGCGCCAAGTCTTGCGCCTATTTAAACGCATCACGTCCCGCCTCTTTGGCTATTTGATGTTGGATGTGCATCCTGCGTCGGATGATCGCTACCGCCTGTGGAGTCATTTAACGCCCCGAGAAGGCAAGGCGCAAGTCCACACCCTGCCCCTGGATGTCCCTGCCGTTCGACAACGAACTGCAACGAGAACTCGCAAGGGTCCGCCGGCAAAGAGAAGGCGGACAACATACTGACTTAGCAGCCCGCATGGACACCTCGACCCTCTCGCCCGCCGGCGTGGGCTCCCCACACCCCCCTCCAGGACCTCAGCAGCATGACGGACATGGTGACCGAATTGACTCGACCGGTGGATCGTACCCAATTGGATCAAGAGATTGAGACTTTCAATTTGACCTACCCGGTCAATGTGGATGATGCCTTGAATGCGTTTACGTTACCGCCCGTGGCAGGCAGAGGCACCGCCCCCGCCAGCACCACCACGGCACCTCCAGCGCCACCACCCTCCATCACCACCGCCCCCACCACCACGGCCACTCAAACCCGTCCTACCACGTCGACCCGAACACGCCCCACGACCACGACCAGCCGACCGCGACCCGTCACCTCCACCCGAACACGCCCCCTTACCACCGCCACGACCACCACCGCTCCCTCGCGCCCCCTTACCGCTCGCCGCAGCGCCGGGGCAAGGACCAGGACCACCACCTCGACGGTGACGACCCCCAGTGGACGCTCCACCATCACCGCCAAACAACAGCGACGACGTCCCCGCGTGCCCTCCCCTCCGTCCCCTGATTCGTCCCCTCCTTCGTCGGAGGACGATGACAAGGATGACGACGAGGATCGACGGCGGGGATTAAGGCAACGGTTGGATTTGCTCAATGAAGATGCTCAACAACGTGCTCGGGGCAGACGTATTCGCAACATCACGCACACCATTACAGTGACCACGGTCTACGAAGATGGGGAGGGCGACCTTCCGTGCACCGCACCTCCACCCGAACGTCCAGCCCAAGTCCACCACGGCCACCACGCCGAGGACGGGGCCGTGGCCGAGCACGCGGACGGGGTCGACGCCCGTGAAAAAGATATAAAAACAGCTTCCTTCCTCCCACCGTCCTAGTACCATGTGTGGCCGTTGTCGAAACGCGATGGCCCCTAGACGGAAACGCAAACGCACCACGACTCGACGTCGACCACGGCGTGTGACCTACAGTCAAGTGGGGGGTGTCGGGGTCGGTCTGCCTGTAGGGATTCTTAAAGCTGGCTATGGGATCACCAAAGCGATAGGGGATCATCAAACCAAGCGTGCAATCAAAATTGGCGAAAAACGCCGACGGGAAGTAGCCTCAGGCAAACGGAAACGCTATGCGGGGAATCATTTAATTGTTCGATCATGTGAAAAAAATAGTATATAAAGGCAAGAGACTCCTCCGTCCGTCCTCCGTCGGACAGTCAAGCGATCATCATGCACTGTGGTCAACGACGACGAAAACGACGCCGAAAGCAACGAGGGGGCATTCTCCCGTTCCTCATCCCCGCTGCCATCGCTCTTGGCAAGGCGGCGGTCACTGGGGCCGTCAGCGGAGCTGCGGGCTATGGCGCCAAAAAAGCCATCCAAGCAGCGACACGCAAGAAAAAAGTGGAAAAGATCAGTGCAGCGCAATGGGCGGCCAATAAACGACGGGTCCGGCGGATATTAAGTCGAACGGGTTTACCTCCGTTGCGGACTCTAGGGATGGTATAAAAGAAACGTCTGGTTGGAAACAAGACTCCAATTGAGGATGGTCCGTGGACCCAATGGACGCCGACATCGTTATGTCCCCCGAATACGACGCCGTCGACGTGGATTGCAACGTGGAGGCGTGCTCCCCATGTTGGGAGTGGCTCTCTCGCCTTGGGCGTTCAAGAAGAAGAAACGGCAGGCGCGCCGACGCTAAAGTGACCAAGAAAAGAAAAGCCGTCACGTTTGCTTTGGACTGGGACGAACAGTATGAAGCGGTCCTGTGTTCACGGTGTCGAGATCACATGCAAACGCATTATCATGGCGAATTCTGTGGCAGGTGTGGAGCCATTTTTACCATAAATAGACCTTGGTCGTTGCCTGAACTCAAGATTCATCATGGAGTGGCGCATGGAACGTCAAGCCCCGTTCTTGAAAAGTGTCTTACAAGAAGCCAATCAACACAAACGACAAGAATTGTTGTGGATGGCGAATGCGGATCAGATCAATGCTATCAGTGAATTGGTGATGAACACCCTCCGTGGCACGGTGCCCCGTTCCCGACACACCATTACGTTGCTCAAACCCCACGCACAGAGCTTACGTGCCATGGCCAAACTCGCCCATTCCGTCAAACGACGACGCGCCATCATGATGGCTCAAAAAGGGGGCGCCCTCTAGCCTGAACTCTACCGATGTTATAAACGTTGCATGCGTTAGACAAGACACCTCAGTTGCACCATGGAACCCGAGATGGTGAGCACCACGGTGGACAACGCCCCTGCTTTTTTACAATTACGAGACAAGTACAAACAAGAATTGGTGGAAGATACCCGCTTGACCAAAGCCGCCGATTTAGCGGCCAAACAACATGTGCTCCTGATCAGCGATGCCCCCGATGCTTGGAAACGGCCTCAACTCAAAGCCGTGAGCCGTCAATTACGCCATTGGACCAAAAAAGGTCGCCAACCGTTTGGGGCCCCGACCGGTGGTGTGAGCGCGACAGGGGCCACGACCCCTGGCGACGATGATTTTGAGGCGGGCCCAATGCAGGCGTGGTTCACGCAATTGGTCAAGGCGACCCAGGGTATAAAACAAGGGTCTACGCCTGTAGGGCCCAGAAAACCACCTGTCCCGCCCAAACCGGACATCACCCCCAGTGCCAAAAAGAAACTCAAGTTTACGCCCCAACCGAGCAGCGCGGAGTTGGCGCACGAGTTGCCCTTTTCAGAAGAAGCTGGAACAGAGCCTTGGGATACCCCCAGTGAACGTGTGGACTCCATCAAGAAAGCGGTCAAGCGCGGGATTCGCAAAAAAGCCGCTGGTGTCGCCAAAAAGAAAGCCGCAGGTCTGGCCAAGAAAGCGTTGGATTGGAAAACGTGGAAAACCCCGTGATGGGACGGACTCGTAGACGCCATGCTGCGCCCCGCTCCCGACGTCGACGACGATCGCAACATGGAGGCAAGTTATTCGATGCGCAAAACCTCCTCAACAAGACGGGCATTGAATTTCATTGGCCCGGCTATCAATACATGGGACCCGGCACCCATTTGAAAAAACGATTGGCCCGTGGGGATCCCGGCATCAACCGGTTGGACAGGATTGCCAAAGCCCATGACATTGACTATGATAAAGCCAAGGACTTGAAAGAGAAATGGGAGGCTGATCGCAAGATGATTGCCAAGATTGATAAACTCCCTGGCCGCACAAGCCTGACGGAACGCATTGTTAGACGCATTATGAAAACCAAACTCCGATTGGGCATGTAAACCCCTTAGTCATAAAAAAGACAACCTTGTTCAATGGCATAATACACATGTTTTAATAAAACTCATTTTGTTCTTACAAATAGTGGTCCATTTGTTGCAACGCATCGGCACGAATCGTTTGCACCCTGTCCTCTTCAGGCTCGGACTCGGCCCAGTCTAAGGGCAACCACGGTAGGGGAAAGGGACGGTCCAATTGCTCGTCCAACCATTGCCATTCTCGACGCCGAATCGATTCTAGACGCTTCTCATATCTCTGACTCTGCAGGGCCTTCCACCCCTCGACGCCCAAAGCTCGCTTTTTCTCGGCCTCTATCTCCCGCCGCCGCGCATTCAATCGTTGTTTGTAGGCCTCGTAGGTCCCCTCCTCCTTCATTTTCTGTATCCAATTTCTTTGACACTGGGCGTTTTTACGTTTGACCTCGTTCCGCTGCTCCTCCGACATGGCATGGTAGCGTCGCATGCCCTCTTGGGTCTTTTTGGCCTTGAAGGCCTCGTATTCCCCATTCGCTCTCATACGGGCCATACGTTCGTGGTAGCGTCGACGGTGAACGGCCTTCACGTCCTCCACCCCGTTCAAGGCGGCATACTTTCGCTGCCGATACAGTTTTTGATTTTTTTTGTTTTTTTTCAGGGTCCCGCTTTGTCCGGGGCTGTCTCGATTCTGGCGTATCCATGGTTTAATTTCAGCAATCAGGCGGCACACACGTCCGCCAACGCACGCAACTTTCGGAACGGGTGTTGTTTGTTCTGTTGAACCCGGGCACGACAGTCCCGCTGCTGCTGCACGATTCGCTCGCGGTTCCGGTGATAGTAGTCCCTGTTGAGGTGACGCACTTGGGCCAAATGCTTGGCTCAGTAACGGAGACAGGCCAGTCGGTTCGCCTCTCGGGCTCTCGCAATCTGCTCTGGTGTGGGGGCTGGTTTGGGTGGACGTGGGGGTTTGAGCTTCCTCAGGGCCGCTCGCCGTTCACGCTTCTGTTGCAACACTCTCTCCTTGTTTTTGAGGTACCACTCGTGCTTTGCGTGTTTCGCCTTCTCGGGATTTTTATTGGGCATCTCGAAGATAACTGACGTCTGTCTAGGGTGTTTGTCTATATCTATCGTCTTGTCCGCCAATCACCGTGCTCGGTCCAGGGATAGTGCGGGTGGAGGGAATCTGGTACCCATGGGGGGGACCACCCCTGATCTTCCTCCTGTCGATCAAACCCCTCACCTGAGTCCCTTACACCAATCTCCTGACGATCATGTGATATCACGTGTTTTTTGGGTCTACAAAAGCCCCTCACCTGACCATCACCTGAGTCCCTTCCACCATTCTCCTGACGCTCATGTGACATCACGTGGTTTTCAGTCTATAAAAGCCAGCGTCTGGCGCGGGAAATTCAAATTGTTTTCCTCCGTCATGGCGGAGGACCACTGGTATCATTTCAGTGACGACGAGGAAGATGCTCTGTTGGACCGTGCCTATGACCGGTGGGAACAGTTGGGAGGTGCCGCCGCCGCCCGCGGTCCTCTCTTTCAATTCCATATGCAACCTATTGGCCGACGACGCCGCTGGCGCGAGGTGGTGGAGCGGGCGCAATTCAATGCGCAATTGCGTCAATTGCGGGATCCTGTGGCTGGGGATAATATTGGGATGGCTTTAACTGAAGCATTGCATCATGCCATCGAGGCTGAACTCGACCGAGAGCAGCGACCCGCCCATCATTTTGTTAATTTTCCGATCACGGCTCATGGTTTCACCCACGCCTACCAAACAGCTAATTTTACCGTGGGGGAATTTTTACAACGCACCGCTCGTTTGGATGAGATGTTGGCCACCCTGGCTGGTAAATTAAACAGCAATGAAGCCTTCAACCCCAATCGCGGGTTCCAAGTGGATGTGGTGTTTGTATCCATGCCCGCCCCAGGGTCCGGTCGACATAAACAACGCAATCCGGGACGTCTATGCTTGGATCGAGACAATAAGAAAAAAAATGCATCGTCACCATCAAAAACAGAGACGCTTTATGCTATGCTCGCGCCATTGTCACCATGCGAGCGCACTGCCATAAAGATCAAGGCGTGGACGAACTTCGCCAATGGGATAGTTTAAAGAAAGGGTACCCAGTGCAGCAACGTCAAGCCCAGGCATTACATCAGAAAGCGGGAGTAGCTGAGGGTCCCTGTCGTTTACCCAAGCTTCGCCAATTTCAACAGGCGTTGGGGCCTCAATATCAATTGCTGGTGATGACCCGGATGAAACCGTTCTTTCTGATCTTCAAAGGCCCCGCCGCCCCTCATCAGATCCGTTTACTGAAATCCAATGATCATTTTGATGGCTGCACGTCCTTTCCCGCGTTTGTCAACCGATCCTATTATTGCGTGGACTGTGAACGGGGGTTCAACACCAACGACCGGACCAATCACACTTGTCAAGGGAGACGCTGCCGTGCTTGCGGTCGATTTGACTGTCCGGATTATGTGCGTGGCACCCGACCCACTGAGTATTGCAGTCTGTGTCACCGCAACTTTTACGGCAGTCATTGCAAACGTTATCATGAAGTCAGCAAGCAATGTCAATCCGTCAAAACCTGTCTCAAGTGCCAGGCCCAGTATACAGTCGTCCCAAACAGACGCCACCAGTACGGGCACGCCAAATGCCCCGTGTGTCAGGAATGGGTGCCCATCCAGGACCACAAGTGTTACATTCAACCCGTGGTGGAACACGAGGAGCCCGAACCAACAGAGGAGGGGTGAGGTAGCATGGTGGCGCCACCCCCTCCCGTTTGTTTACGCGGATTTTGAAGCCAAAAAAAAAAAGGAGTGTTTGTGGCCAATTTGTTGTGCTATTCGTCCAGCGAAGAAACGACCATTCATGTGTTGGACGGGGAGGACTGTGCCCTACAATTTTTGCGCGACTTGGATGATCTCACTGACATCCCAGACAGCGAGGGCGAGCGGGAGATTCTCGTGGTGTTTCACAATTTGAAAGGCTTCGACGGCATGTTTATTCTGCACGAACTGTACCAGCAACAACGCGAGGTGGCCGACCAACTGACGGTGGGGGCCAAAGTCTTGTCCTTCAAGAGCGGAGCCGTCAAGTTCATTGACTCGTTGTGTTTCTTGCCCATGCCGCTGGCCTCCTTTCCCAGCACCTTCAATTTGACCGAATTAAAGAAGGCCTTCTTTCCTGACTTGTTCAATACCCCCGATCACCAACAGTACGTCGGCCGCATCCCCGATTTGGAATTTTACGATCCCGATGGTATGATGGCCAAAAAGAAAGACGAACTGACTCGTTGGCATGCGGACCAAGTCCGTCGTAATGTCATGTTCAATTTCAAGCAAGAAATGATCGATTATTGCAAGTCGGATGTGGCTCTCTTGAAAGCAGGGTGTGAAGCCTTTCAGCAAGAATTCGAACGGCAGGCTGGCTTCAATCCCATGGCCAAGTGTATGACCATCGCCAGTGCCTGCAACTTGTATTGGCGCAAGCATCATTTGACCCCCGACACCATTGCTGTCGAACCTCTGGGTGG